AGATAAGAAATAACAGAACCGTTTAGCCTCCTGGCAAATTACATTCAGCACCCACTCTCTCAAAATGACAAATATCAGGTCTTTCAAGTGGAAAAATCCTCCAAAGCATTGAGCCAACTGTGCAATGCAGCAAGCAGTGCAAGGAAGAGATTCCCCGCCCCCCCCCCCCCCCCCCCCACCCATCTCTGCAGCAAAAAAATTTTGAACTTATTAACATAAGGTGATACGATTCAATTCCTATGTTAACTACCACTGGCTCTGAAGTTGACTCCTTATTTTAAAAAAAGACACCTACGTTTGACCTCGAGAAAGCCAAGAATTCCTCAAGAACCATCTTCTTCTTCTTCTTTTTTTTTTCAAATGCATTAGCACGTTGCTCGGTGAATGTATAACATCATAATAGGGCAGGAGAGTAAGACCGATCGCTTCTCCGAAGCGGAGTTCACTCAGTCATCATAGATCAAACTGCCGTTACTTTCAACAGGACGTCAGAACATCATTTACAATCAGGTAAATTTTCACTGGGAATTTGAGGTTCAATGAGATGCAACCGCCTGACAAATCACAACATGCCAGGGAACGGGGTGACCTGAGCCCCCAGACCAATGACTGTCCCTTTCTTTCTGCCCGGCACTACGCATTCCATCCCTCCTTAGAACAGCCTTGCGGGGGGGGTCAGTAATATTCGTGCCATTTTACGGATGTGGAAGCTGAGGTCCGGAGAGCTGAAGTAAGTGTCTTGCCCAAGCTTCAAGCAGTTTAGCTGGGACTCAATGAAGCCCGGGTCTGTCTTATTTCAAAGCCCACGCATTTTCTCTCCTCAGCTCTTTGCCACTCGGTGTGGTCCCTGCACCAGCAGCATCACTTGAGAGCTTGTTAGAAATGCAGAATTCTCAGTCCCACACAATCTGAACCCCCATTTTACCAGGATCCTCAGGTCACTGATGTGTACTTTCAGGCTTGACAGACTATACACTTTAACATTCTGCCTCTCTGAATGTCACGACTAGGATCCCTTCCCAGAGATCCCAATATGGTGGTGGGATTTTTGCTTCCATATTCATGAGATATTGGTCTCTAGTTTTCTTGTGCTATCTCTTGTCTGGTTTTGGTATCTGGGGAATGCTGGCCTCAGAAAATGAGCTAAAAAGTGGTCCTTTCTCTTCTATTTTTTTTTTGGGAGGCGGGGGGCTGGGGGGAGTCATTTGTGAAAATGTGGCATTAATTTTCTTGAAAATTACACTCTTCACTTGTAGGTCTATTCAGATGGTCTCTTCTTCTTTTTTTATTTTCTGAGGGAGAGGAGAAAGGCGTGAAGGAGGTGGGTAGATTGTCTCTTCTTGAGTCAATGCTGGTAGTTGGAGTCTTTAGGAATTTGTCCGTTTCATTTAAGTTGCATAACTATTTGGTATAGAACTGCCATTTTTCTTTTTTTTGTGTTGTTGTTTTTTTAAGTCTTTTATTTCTCTATTCTTCCTTTACTACTTGCTTTTGCATTAAGTGAATATTTTCTAATGAAGCATTTAAATTTCTTTAATAAATTTTTCCACTATATTTTTTTAAAGATTTTTTAAAATATATTTTATTGATTTTTTTTACAGAGAGGGAGAGGGATAGAGAGTTAGAAACATCGATCAGCTGCCTCCTGCACACCTCCTACTGGGGATGTGCCCGCAACCAAGGTACATGCCCTTGACCGGAATCGAACCTGGGACATTTCAGTCCACAGGCCGACGCTCTATCCACTGAGCCAAACCGGTTAGGGCTAAAGATTTTTTTAGTGGTTACCCTAGGGTTTAACCATATAATCCTGATTTATCAGAATCAGCTTCAGATTTATATTAGCTTAATTCCAGTGATATATAGAAACGTCACTCCTATATAGCTCCATTCCCTCCCCCCTTTTTTGTAGTATTGTTACATATATTATATCTGTTCAAGTTACAAGCCTGGCAATGCATTGTTATAATTATTACTTTATCATCTATAGTCATTTCCTTAGCCCATTACAGCTTTGCTCCTACCCACTCCTTTGCACTATTATTGGCAAGTATATTACACACAGATTACATTTCTGTTATAGTCCCAACAGTATATTATATGCATATTTTACATAATTGCTTTTTAAATCAGTTAAGAGGAGAAAAATATGTATTTATACTTCTTTTATAATTACATAATTACCTTTATTGGTGCTCTTTGTTTTTCTTTTATGTGGATTTAAGTTACTATCTATAGCCATTGCTTCTAGCCTGAAGAACTTCCTCTAGTATTTAGTACGGTGAGTCTTTAAGCAACAAATTCTCTCAGTTTTTGAATATACTGGAAAGTTTTTAGTTCACCTTCATCTTTGAAATGTCCTTCTCATTTATAGCCACCTGTGCTGGATATAGGATTCTCAGTTGACAAGTTTTTTCTCTGAGCACTTCACATATGTTCTGCTGAGAAGTCAGCTGTTAATCTTATTGGGGTTTCCTTGTAAGGGCAAAGTCATTTTCCTCCTGTTGCTTTCCAAATGTGCTCGTCTTTGATTTTCAGCATTTTTACTATGATGTGTCTGTTTGTGAATCTCTGCTTATCCTCCTTGGAGTTAACTGAACTTCCTCAATGGACAGGTCATTGCCTATTATAATGGCTCTTTTAAAACCTTCTCATTAAATCTGACATCTGGTCACTCTCACAAGCAATTCCTCTTGCTAGCTTTTTCCCATTGTATGGGTCTTACTTCCCTGCTTCTTTGCATACCTCAGGATTTTTGTTGGAAACTAGACATTTTAAGTAATATATCATACCAACTCTTGGGACTGGTGCCCTCCTCTCCAGGGCTTGTTATTGTTATTTGCTTACTTATTTAAGAGACTGGCTGTCTTATTTTAGTGAAATCTATTTCCCTCACACAGTGTGGAGGCCTGTGGTGCTGCTCCTCATGGAGGCACATTTTGGGTATGCCTAAAGGTTTTAGAATCACTCCCGTTCTCTTTCCCTTATCATACCCAGCTGTTAAAGTCCACTAATTGTGGTATATTGTTCCATTATCCTATATAATAAAAGGGTAATATGCAAATTGACCGAACGGCGGATGACCGGTCGCTATGACACGCACTGACCACCAAGGGGCAGACACTCAACGCAGGAGCTGCCCCCTGGTTGTCAAAGTGCTCCCACAGGGGGAGCGCCGCTCAGCCAGAATCTCTCTCCGCCTTGCTGAGCTGGGAGCAGGGAGGGTGACAGAGGTCTTGGTTCAAATGCCACAAATTTTCACCTTCCTTATGGAATGTTTACATATTTTTTTAAATATATATTTTTAATTGATTTCAGAGAGGAAGGGAGAGGGAGAGAGATAGAAACATCAATGAGGAGAGAGAATCACGGATCGGCTGCCTCCTGCACGCCCCACACTAGGGAATGAGCCTGCAACCTGGGCATGTGCCCTGACCGGGAATCGAACCGTGACCTCCTGGTTCATAGGTCAATGCTCAACCACTTGAGCCAAGCCAGCTGGCTGTTTATGTATTTTTTTTTTAAATACATTTTATTGAATTATTTCACATAGAGGAAAGGAGAGAGATAGTTAGAAACATTGATGAGAGAGAACCATGCCCAGCTGCCTCCTGCACACCTCCTACTGGGGATGTGCCCGCAACCAAGGTACATGCCCTTGACCGGAATCGAACCTGGGACCTTTCAGTCCGCAGGCCAACGCTCTATCCACTGAGCCAAACCAGCTAGGGCTGTTTATGTATATTTTTAATAGATATTTCTTCACTTGATGCATGCCCCTATCATTCCTAGAGGGTTTAAAGTATTTTTTAAAAATATTGCCCTAACCGGTTTGGCTCTGTGAGCGTCAGCCTGCGGACTCAAGGGTCCCAGGTTCGATTCCGGTCAAGGGCATGTACCTTGGTTGCAGGCACATCCCCAGTGGGGATGTGCAAGAGGCAGCTAATCGATGTTTCTCTCTCATCGATGTTTCTAACTCTCTATCCCTCTCCCTTCCTCTCTGTAAAAAATCAATAAAATATATTTTTTTAAAAAAAATAATAATAATTTTCACCAGTTTTACAGAGAACCAGGTCAATGGAGCTCCTCCCGCTGAAAGTTAGTCCTGTCTACAGCTGCTTTGGGGCTACCAGGGTACAGCTGAAGAGCTGAGTGGTTGCAACTGAGAACGTATGGCCCGCGAAGCTGAAAATATTCATTATGTGGGCCTTTACAGAAGAAGTTTGCCAAGCCCTGGCTTGGGTCGCTGCTGCCAATGCCGCAGGTCCACAGACCACACTTTGAGTAGCAAGGGCTTACATCGCTTGAGAGACAGTAAGCACTGTGTTGGCTGAGCGCTTGCTTCAAAACCCCATTTCACCATTTATTGGACAGATGGTTTGGGGCGCCTCCCTCACTGGGTTGTTGTGAGAACGAAATGTATGAAAAGTCTGCCACTTCGGAAGTATTCAACAAACGATAACTTATCATCATCCTGCAAACTGTATAGGAAATTTAAGTAGAAGACATCATCGCTTTCCCCAGTTTTTTCCCCAGAAAATTTAAGTTTTGGAAAAGGGACACAAGTATAGACTCCCCAATAAGACGAGATGTCTTTTCATATCTGGGGTACACAAATGACCTACTGAAGTGAAAGCTCTATAGAGCTGGAGCTTAAGCCTGACATTGAAAAACGAGAATTTGCCACCGGCGATGCCTCCGGCCTCTGGCAGTAACAATGAATGAAAACTTTCAGGAAGTGCTTCCCAACCCAAGTGCCCTATTGGAAAAGACAGCAATGGATCCTTAATCCGAGGATTTGGGCCTAGATGTCTCCCTTCCGGTTCTGGCCACCTCTATCCGTGCCCAGAAATGATATACACAGAATCCCTCAAGTTTCCACCTCCACTTGACACCGGGGCCGGGGCGCCCCGATCGGTGCCGTCGTAGGGCCCGAGGCGCGGGGATTCCGCCAGGCTCCCACCTCGCCGCGGGCCCGTCGGGGCTGCCCGCCCGCTTACCTCGCAATTAAACTCCATCTCGGCGTCCATGGTGATGATCCTCACGGTGAACGTCTTGGGCTGCTTCCTCTTGAGCGAGCTGAAGCTCATGCGGGAAGCGATGGCCCCGGCCATGGTGCGGGACTCAGGCCCGGGACCCTCGCGTCCCCAGGCCTGCGCGCTGGGACTGTTAGCCTCCCTGGAGGAGAGGCACAGGCCTCAGGGCCA